TTCTAAATATATCATTTAAATGTACAAATATTTTTGTATCAGAAGAGCTTAAAAAGATGATCACGAGAATAAAATCATTACAAGCGACATCTAGATAACTTGTAAAGATGTGTTCACATCAACAAGTAGCGAATTCAAAAACACGAAGATCTTGCCAATAAGCACCTCACACTAACACAACACAATCCGCAAAAAAATGAGTAGATGAATTCAACTCCATTAAAATATCAATACAAAGAACAATTCAAGTTAAAAGTTAGTAAAATAGAGGTCCTCATTAAATAATTTTTATTATAATATATTTAGTAGATCAAATTGCACAAATGACACAACATGAAGTTTTGAGTACAAAGGCCATTTAAAAATTCACAATGTCGATAAAAAACATGACAATGCGTTTAGCCCAGAATCTTTCGTTGACAAATAAAGGCCAGCAGTTCACTTGCATTCTAGTCACCTCAGATGAAAGAGTATGGACACTTTCATACATACTCTTTCATCCAGCAATGAAATAGAAAATATAAGCCATGCAAGAGCCACTCTCTTGGGAGCTGTAACATCCACACTGAAGGCGCCCCTTTGGACAAAAAATAAAGACTTTAGAAGATGAAGGCGAGGATGAAGAATTCACCTCATCTTCACCCTCGTCACTTAAGCTGTAGAACATTCCATCCTTTGCAATGGCTTGTTGCCTAAAATGTTATATCTGATGGAACAAAAAATATAGAAGATTCCCTAACAATGATCAATAGAAGAGATTGAACATGACCGCTGATATAAGCGAAGCAAAAATCAACCGCTAGAAAGAGACAAAAAAGACGACACAATAAGATCTGTCGAAAAGAATGACAACAAACTAAATACAGTTCACTGAACCAGCAAAAAGCCCTCAAAAGTGTAACTGGCAAATGTTGCACTAGCTAGCCACACAAGGAATGTATCGACTGATGAGCAGGTCTCAATAAGCCTGATCCATTTCTGAGCACTTCTTCCTTCTGTGAGGAAGAAGTTATTTTGAAAGAGAAGCACCATGAATAGGATCATGAGCTATATTATAAATTGATCCAAAAAGAATTTGAGTTAGCTCTAAAAAAATAAATAAATACAAGGAATTAGATCTAAATGAGAGTCCGATTTAAGATTTGAAGAGGTATTGCGGATATGAGAATAGAGAAGTTAATAAATCTTTTCAATAAAATTTTGAAGACTAAAATGATATTAAATGATTAAGGAGGAATTTTGGTACCAATGCTTAAAAACAAAGTTGTTTCAAATCTAAGAACACAAAAATCTAACTTATTAGAGAAAAAAAAAGTTATGACAGAGAGTATTGAAATGTAATATTAAAAAAAGTAGGTAGATTTCAAATAATGAATTTGACTACATGTCAAAAAATTGACTATAGAAGCAAATTTTGTTTTAAGACAATGAAAAATTATAAGAGCCAAGAAAAAAGCTTCATATAATTTTTATTAGCATTGAGAATGTATATAATTGAGTGCCTTGATAGTTGATACGGTGCAAAATAAAAGAAAAAAATGCATCAGAGATAGGTTTACGAAATATAGACTATTATCACTTTATTAAAAGTTGCAGAGTGAACAAAGAATTTTCAACGGAAATATAATTACATCAAGAATCAATATTCAATAGTTTATTTATAAAGAAAATTTACATATATAACATTTATTTCCTATGTTTACATATCTAACAACTACTTCAACTTTTACATACATGTCATCTTACCTTTGCATGAAAAGATGTATTTCACTTTTAAAAATTAAAATGATGGTATTTTATATGTGATATAAAATTTTGGGTGGTATAAAAGTAAAAAATAAAGTTTTGGTGTTATGGATGTAAATACAAAGGAATGGGGTGGTATGTATGTAAATGCCCCTTTTTTATGATGATGCTTATGATCTCAAAATGAGATATCTTGGCGCATGCTTTTTACATATGACATAATTTTAATTGATGATACATCTATTAAAATAAGTGTTAAATCAAAACATTTTTTTTGGTGCAAACATAAAACAATAGCAAAAAAATATTTAGAATATAGAAGGCTTAATTAATATTAGTAGAAAAAAAATCAAATACATAATATTTAAGTTTAGTGGTTTAATATTTAATATAATAAATGTCTACAACAACAACAACAACAACGCCTTAATCCCACTACGTGGGGTCGGCTACATGAATCCTTCTTCTCCATTACGCCTATTTAGTGTCATATTTTCAATTAGTTCTAATATGTTAAGATCATTTTTAATACAATAAGCCCAAGTCTTCCTAGGTCTACCTCTGTCTTTCTTAACACAAGTCGAATCTAAAACATCTACTCTCCTAATCGGATCATCAGATGGTTGACGTTTAATGTGACCAAACATCTAAGACGAGTAAATCCACTCATCCACCTAATCATTCTCATCTCGACAACACTTGACTTATTATTATGCTTCTCTTTTAAAGGCCAACATTCAGCGCCATAGAGCATTGCAGGTCTCACCACCATCTTATAAAATTTTCCTTTCAGTCTTAGCGGTACTTTTTTATCACACAAAAGGCCCGCAGCAATCCTCCACTTCAACCAACCAACTTGAATTCTACTATTAACATCCCCATCTATATCACCATCGCTTTGAACAACGGACCCAAGCTATCTAAATCGTTCACACCTTTTAATAATTTGATCACCCAAAGTCACACTTCTGTCACTATAACTATTACTACTAAAATTACATTCCATGTATTCAGTTTTAGTTCTACTTAAACGAAGGCCTTTAGACTCCAATGTAGACCTCCATAATTCAAGTTTTTCCTGGGCTTTTTCTCTCGTTTTATCCACGAGAAGAATATCATCAGCAAAAAGCATACACCAAGGTACATCCTCCTGTAGATGTCCAGTAAGACCATCCATAACTAAAGCAAAAAGATATGGGCTTAAAGCTGATCCCTGATGTAATCCAATAGAAATAGGAAAATATTTTGTCAATCCTCCTTCAGTTTGAACACAAGTAACATCTCTAGTATACATATCTTTAATGACTTGAATATAAGTCATATCAACACCTTTCTTCTCGAGAACTCTCCAAAGGATATCTCTTGGAACCTTATCGTAAGCATTTTATAAGTCATATCAATATAATAAATGTCTATTGTTAGAAAATAAAGTGATGCATTGGTATAATATACTAAGCATTTTAGACCCATAATACAAAAGAATGAGGATAATAGATAAGGATGTAACTTTTAAAGTTAAAGCATTATGCTCAAGGGGGTGTTTGATAGGCTCCCTGTTAATAGGATTTATGATCAGTATTTACTAAATCCAACCAAACAGAAAAAAACAAAAGTTACATGGATTTATGAAATGTTAGATTTAAGGCTGAATTTTGCTTTCAATTCATGTAAAATCTGGATTAAATAAATCCATCAATGAGGAGAATTTAACAAATCCGGATTTACCAAATCCTACTAAAGCTAAATCCTTACTGCAACCAAACACTCCCTAAAATTGACAAAGAGCTTCAACAATATTACACTAAGGGCATATCATAGAGAATTAAAGGTAAAGTCGATAAAACTAGAAATAAGTAAATGATACTATATGGATCTAAGTGTTTAGAAAAACATAAGGAAAAAAAAAATCATTGATGACTAAGCTGAGAATGGAGAAAATTATAATATTTAAGATAGAAGCATGAAAAATTTTAAAAATACATCAAGGAATAATTTTATTAAAAAAAATGATAACAATGACATTTCATAAACATAGAGTAATTAAAAAATATATATATTTAGGTTGTCCGGACATGCAATGTGATAAGTAAAATAGGCATTCATTAAACGGGCGTGTAAATAAGTGTAAGGGGATCAGTAAAAATAAGAGGCATAACGCACAAAAAGAATAAATGAATTTTAAGGGTTCAAAAAATTGACCACACATAGTCGAAGATAAGGCTAATGATGATAAAGCTAATAGAACACAAAAAAACACCAAATCAAATTAAGAAAAAAAATATATCACTATATATTGAAAAAAAAATAGATAATTAAAAAAAAAAACATCTGCTGCTCGACCACGGCATTTCTTACCCTCTCCAGCTTCAAAAACCACATAAAAAAATAGTTTCAATGGACATTCATTCAATTCTTTATGTCAAGTCTCTTTGTTAGCATTCAAACTAGCTAATTGCCAGATTTTGTTTAATATTACTCCGGAATCAACTATATTTGGGCTTAAATATGTTAAAATAATGACATTTTATCACAGATTATATCTAAATACTACCGAAGTATAAACAGACTAGTGCAAGTACCATAGATGCAAGTCCATAACTGGAGCATGAATAGCAATCTGATTTTTCTATAATTTCATATTTTTGTAGAGCAGAAAAGAGGAATTGCCAATCGTTTGATGCTTTCAGGAACGCAAAGGCATAGATGACAATAAACTTATGAAAATATGCTTATAGTTATGATTATAGTTATGAGTAGCCTACCAAACTAACTATCTTCAATCAGAGTTGCCTTATTTATTAGTCATTTTAGTTCAGTTAAATTTGGTTCCAATATTTGGATTCCGAGTATTAATATGGTTCTAGGGAATGTCAAAAAATTTGCGCAGTTAAAGGGTAAATTAAAAAAGACACTTATTCCCCATTTTCTGTTTATCCTTAGCTCTTTGCGGTGTATTAATTCTCATTTATTTGATGGGCGAAATAAATGAACGAATTCATCAAAATGAAAAACATCAATTTCAAGAAAATCTAACCACTACTCCTGCTTCTCACCCTCCTAATTTGTGCTCTCAAATTTGCTTTCAACTATAAGAAGTCCTTCAATGTCTTGTAAATACCAATCAAGCTTGTCGACAACATTCAAAGTCCAAAAAAATAAAAAATAAAAACCAGCACATCAATCAATCCCACGAAATGTGCAGTCAATAAAAATTTATAATGCTATGTACGATGACATTGTTGTAATAAAAATACCTGCTGAATCCAAGCAAGAGCCAAATCAGACAAGCTTTGTTCAAGTACAAATTGCCCAACTGCATGCAATAACTCACTTGCTACTTCACCAGAGAGATCACTGAATGCAGGCCCAGATCTTTCCATCAACTTCACAAGCAATAAGTCATCACCTGAAGACAGCACTTCAGCATATGCTGAGTCCAAATCACCAACATGAAGTGAATCCAAAGCACGGGTCCAAGAGTTCCAGGACTGGTCCCTATCCTGCCCAGTAATTTCTGCATCCAGTTCAGTGATTGGCCCTCGTGCCGCACTTCGAGAGCTTCCATTATCATCCCCAGCACCTCGGATAGCTTCCAAGGTGGCTTCATCCTTGGACGCTTGCCAAACACTTCTTGCGGAAGGACCTTCACCAAGCCTAAATGGTCCTTGACCCCTGCCCCAAGCTCTCCTGTTGCCAACTTGCTCAACATCAGGTTCATGTTTCGGATATTTACCGTCAGCCAACGAGGTAACTAATCCTCTCTTTCCACTTGTAGACCCATTCCTTGGACCAGTATATACATAAGGATCCCGTCCTTCGGAATCTGGTCTCCAAAAAGCATCTCTTCCCCTTGCTCCTGGAAGCATGCCGTCTGATGAGAGATATCTTTCCATAAATGGAACTCTACTTTCATTTCCCCTGCCAAACTTGGAAACACCATAATCTTGAAGACCACTGTACTTGTTTGAGGATCTTCCAGGAGATCCTTCAAACCCCATCATCAAATTTCCCCCTCTCCTCCCAGATGATATTGATAAATCCTGTGCCATTTCTTCAACAACTCTCTCTAGTCCACGCACTCTGTTCTCCAGAGTTACTAAGGTATCATGGGAGCCCCCCATGAAGTCCTATATTTGTAGTACAGAAATCAAATGAGCCAGCAATAGTAAACTAATTCAGGGTAGCCAAAGTTAGGAATGGTACAAGATTGCAGGATAATCATAAAGAATGGCTGCAACATATATAAAAGATTCATCTCAGATATAAGAAAATTAGGTTTCGATCCATTCCCTTCGTGGCACGTAAGAATCTAAATATAGACAGAAAAAGAAAAAAAAATATTAAATATCATAGATCAAGAGCTGACAATTTACGAACAAGAATTTCATTCTATTTTGTGGCTTTGATCCAAATACAATTTTACAAATGCTGCCTGTGGCTTTGATCCAAACACAATTTTACAAATGCTGCCTGTAACTTTACACGTCATGGAAACTGTTTTAAGATTGCTATTCTTCCGATTAAGAAAATTAATTTCTTTCAATCTATGCCTAGCGTGATAAAGACCGTATGAGATTTGCTTTCAAGAAACTACATAATTTCAGAGTAATGAAATGTTAACCTAATGTATAGGGTTGCTTGAGTAATGAATTGAAATCAAGTAATTTCCAAATAAACCGGATGCACGTCAGAATTTATGAATTTGGTTTGTCTGCATTAAGTAAACAAAAATCAAGTGACATGCAGGATATTTGCTATACTTCCATGCTTACGCAAATAGAAGCCAAAAGTAAAACAAGGCACAGAACTCAACACTTGACTAATTATTAATTTCAGCTGGCCTGTTTAAAGTTCCTCATGAATTGCCGTTAGACAGTACTGAGACATATTCACCTCCCACCCATATCATATTGTAATATAAACAGCATTTTTTATTTTTATACAACTTTTCAAGCATATAACTGATGAAAGGAAAGCACAAAAAAAATATGATAAATTCACCTTGGTTGATAGCTTGAATTGCTAAGCAAATCATTCCACTGAATTAATTATGGTTAATGGTAATGGCATTTCAACTTTTATGACAAATCATGTCGAGTTATATCAGCTACGGACACCGTCAGGGCTAAAGAAATTAAAATAAACTAGTACATCAAATGAGGTCCTTTCTAAATTCTCCCTCGCCAACTTGATTGACAATAACACAAACTATACAACCAAGCATGTAACAAAGCACAGAGGTTTTGCTGATATTGACTACAACACTGAAATGCATTAAATTCTAAGGGACCGTTTGGGGTCACTTTTGATTTTTGTTTTTTATTTTTTGCTTTTATATTGTTTTATTTCTGTTTTTACTCAAAATGAAACATATTTGATATGCTATAACATGATTTTTTGTTTTTAAAAACACTAAAAATGTGGAAATGCATTAAATTCTCCCTCACCAGCTTGATTGATAATAACACACTATACAACTAAGCATAACAAAGCACAAACGTTTTGCTGATATTGACTACAACGTTGAAATGAATTAAATTATAAGGAAGAGCTAAGGATCACTTTTGGTTTTTGTTTTTTATTTTTCGATTTGCCATTTGTTTTGTTTTGTCTATGTTTCACTCAAATGAAACATGTTTGGTATGCTATAACATTGTTAGTTGTTTTTAAAAACACTTAAAGTAACTTCTAAATTTTTTGAGTGTTATAAAAAATTAGCTAATTTTTTTTTGAAAATAAAAAACAAAGTATGAAAAAAACATACTAAACAAAAATGTTTTTAAAATAAAAATAAAAAAAAATAAAAGTGATTCCAAATAAGTCCAAAGAAATAATACTTAAAAAAAATAGAAGCAATAGAAGACATGACATGAAAGAAAATGTGTTGGTTAAAGGACCAATTTATCGCTCACCATTCCAAATATATATATATATATATATATATATATAGGGGCATTCTCATACATACCACAAAATTCTTATGTATTTACATATCTGACACTTAGACATTCTTATTTAAAAGAATAACACTCAAATCTTTAACAACATATCAAAAGTACCACCATCATTAACTTTTTAAAAGTGAAAAACACATTTCATGCATAGTTTTATGACACCAAGGTGTTATAAGTGTAAATATAAGACTTTAGGTGTTAGATGTGCAAATACATATAAATTGTGTAGTGTGTACATCAATTACCAAAAATAGATATATGGCATCTCACAGACAAACGGCAGATAAGCATTCTCCTCGATCAGAGTGTAGTCATCATTCACAATGGCTGCACATATTTCTCAAAGAAACCAATGAAGCATAAACAAGTTACTCAAGAACAAACCTGTAGCATGTCCATAAGATGGCCTTGTTGCCTTTCCAACTGCAATAACTGCCTCTGAATGGCCAACCAATTTCCTTTGTTGTTCATGCCAGAACTTTCGATTAAACCATCAGTTCGAGAGATACTTGTACGGTGTGAAAAAGAGTCCTTCTGGTTAAGTTCAAACCTCTCATCAGCATCAAAATCCCTCATATTCGAGTCCCTTGAACTGAATCCTTTTTCAGTCCAATTATCTCTAATAGGGTAATCCAAAACTTGTTGATTGTTATTTGTTACTATTCTTCTCTCAGTTTTATGAAAGTTAATGCCAATATGCCCATGATTTTCATTCAATTCGCAGCCAGGAACTTCATCATGTTTCAATGAAATCCTAGAATCACTATCCGGCAATCCCTGTTCTTCTTCATCTAGTGAGCGGGATGACTCGAGGCCTCTACGGGGTAGAACAACTTCAACTTGTACATCATTTGAACTTCTTGTTTCAAGGTTTTGGAAGAATTCTGGATTCAACTCTTTGTCTTTCAGGGAGGGAACCTTTTTTTTAAGAATAACTGCAGCATTCTCTTGAATATTGCTGCCCTTTCCTTTGGACAAAGATTTGCTGGCAGAAGGCGAAGAATCAAGAGATGAATCTTTCACAGATTCTGGTCTTTTACAGTTGAGATTTGACTGTTTAGCATCCGACTCTTCACCATTCCCGGATTTGGTAGCTTTTCTATCTACAGTATATAACACAAGCACGAATACATGTAAGGGACTTGGAAACCTACGTGCAGGAAATTCAAAGCATATGAACAAATTATGATGTTATCATTTTATACCCATTGAATCCTCTGGTGCTTTATTCTCACTATTTCCTGAAATCTTTTTCCAAAATTGCAATGCCTCCATCATGCTATCTCTCACAGGTTTTACCTGATCAATGAACCATTAAAGACAACAAAACAATGAACCATTCAAGACAGTAAAACAATTCTAAAATCTGAGGGATTTCAGATGCCAATATAACAAGAGGCTATGTTCATAAATTCACCCATCTGGAAAGCTAAGGGCATGTTTGGAATAAATTTTATACTTTTATTTTTGTTTTTTTAACATGTTTGTTTAGTGTATTTTTCACATGCAATTTTTTGTTTCTAAAAATGAATTAATATGTTTTTGAAAACATTCAAAATAACTTTTAGTTATTTTTAGAATTTTTAAAGACAACTATACTTTAATCAAATAGCCAAATATGTTTTAGTTCAAATCAAAACATGAACAAAACAAAAAAGCAAAAATAAAAATAAAAAGAAGAAGTGATCCCAAAAGGCCCCAAGAGTAAGACAATCTTACTTTATGAATGATAAAGCAAGACTATAATGTTTACTTATTGAATCATGGAAAGAGTTCTCAGATAAGCAATACCTTGTCAAAACGGCAAGCCTCAAGAGACTCAATTATTTGAGAACTCCCATCAGCAATCAAATCCCCTGAATAAGAAGCAAGCACAACCAAAGCATCTGCAGCGGCCTTGCGAGTGACCCAATCACTATTCTCAAGACATTCACGAATGCTTTGCAGCACTGTTGGCATACTCTGAGTACCGATTGCTCTTATCTAAGAAAATTTTGGAGTTAACTGCTGGTAATTTGAAGTCTCAAAATGAGGTTATTTCTTGATATTTACTTCAGAAACTGACTAGTCTCGGCCAGACAATTATTTTGAACAAAATATAATACAAACGAAAAAAAAAACTGATATGACTCCTGCATTATGAAATCACCCAAACTTTGCAATTTTTGCATCACAATGTACCATTTCAGTAAATGAAAATGAGCAAAGAGCGAGGATTACTACTTTTAAGTACGAAATGCAACCAACAACAACAACAAAACTTTATCCCACTAAGTGGAGTAGTTGGCTACATGAATCTTCTCCATTGTGTCCTATTTAACTATGAAATGCAACCATTGCCCAAAATTTTAATGAATTAAAGCATACAACTAAAACTAATAAGCATCCTATATTTTTATATTGAAAAAATATTACAAAGCAGTAAGGTTATTCAACCACCACCATATCCCAATTAATTTATGAACAGATTGATAACATACTGTATCAATTATTGACAACAAAGAGCAATACCAGATAGTGAGCAAGTCAACTTGATACCGATGCAAAGGTGAAACCCAGCCTACGTAAAAAGTTATTAAAGATATATTTTAGAAAATCATAAAGTTGAGCCTACAGATCAGAGATATGGTCACCTTTTACAGCAAGTGAAAACGGGAAATCCCAGTTGTTAACAATGATCCAGGTGTCTCCATCAAAGTGAAGTGGGAAAGATAGGACCATGAAAACCATTGGCATTCCCTTGTCAAACTCTCCAATACTTCCTGTATTTTTTAGCATTATTTCTGTCTTAATATAAAATTAAAGCTAACCACCAAAAAAAAAGTTAATGAACAGTGTCAAATATTGGGTGATTTACCCAATTAGTGAATCATTCAAATAGTCCATTTTTCCCCCTCTGCTACCTCTATCAAAGAGTTCACCCCTTGTCTCAATTTGATGTCAATGTCTTTGAATCAAGTTGAACGCAAAACTTCAACAAATACCTCAAGTCTTCCGCCCGGTATATTTTTATTATATGCATAATTATTAGATAAAAGGACAAAATCATATGCAATATTATATCATATATAATCTAAAGCTCAATCTAAGAGATCTATGCTCCCTGCAAACTTTTATCTATAATGCTTTGCATTAATTTATTCGCTAATGACAAAATCATATGCAGTAAGAAAATATTACTGCGAGAAAAGAACTACAGTTTAGTTTCTCAATTTGTTTCTACAATCTGATGAGAACCAAGAAAATGCAAAAGATAGTTGAAGTGGTTATCTTTTCGATAAATTCATCAGCTCCTTCATTTTTCAAATATTCAAGCCTAAGGCAGTACTACAATGTTCCAGGAAACTTCTTAGTAGAGAAGAGGTTTTGCAGCAGTTAGCTTGAGATTGATCCAACTATTAATAAAGGAGATAATTGGTCTTCCAACCTTACCTCCCACTTGCGTGTAAGAGTTGAGTTGAGCTTTAATCACCTTTGGGTTGAGCTTGAGCTTCATTAATTAATCGAGTTTGAGTTTAAGGTCGAGTTTATTTCTACAAGTTTGAGCTGGCTCATAAACTGGGTAGTTTATTATAATAGAGAAAACAATTTTTAACTCAAACTAGACTTATAATAAAATAAAAAATAGAATGAATAATTATAAGATAAGTAAAAAATAAATCACTTGATATAAAATATAAAAGATAAATTTTTAAATGTTTTTAATAAATTATAGAATATATCTTAATTTTAGCATACTTTGAGTGTATTTTATATTAATATTTTTTTAAACTGGTCAACTCACGAGCTAATGAGTCGAGTCGAGGCTGGTTGAGTTTGGCTTGCAAGCTAATTGCGCTCATCTCATGAGCCACTCATCAAGCCGAGCCCGAGACAGCTTGGTTGAATTACACGGCTACCTCCAACTCATATTCACCACTTCTCATTTATAAAAATAGAAAATGCCAAAAAAAACACACCATTGGGGCTCCTTCATCATGCTCACAACTATCCTACCACGGTGCATTGCTTGGGCTCTCTCTTCACCTTAAAAACTACCCTGTATTATTTGGCCCGTTGTTTCTTAAAAATGAGGGTTTCTCTATAGCGTTAATGCTAATGTATTGATTGCTGGGCTTCATGTCCCACTAATAATTAATCAGCTTGTACCATTTGTTGGTGAATCATGATCCTCACTCATATAGTTTTGAGTGGAGGCCAAAAAGCAAACGCACACAGCTTAAATCCCTGTCGTAAGAAATCAAATGTACTGCGAGGAATGAAAATATACATCTCAAGCATTTAAGAACGCTGCATAAAATCAAACGCAAATGGGAAATGTCACTTACGACATGTCTATTCTCCCAGTATAAAAAATTTCATGCTCTCCTACACCGAAAGAAAAGGAAAAAAAAACAAAACAACTTCGAAAACAAATCACCAACGTAGCAACAACACAATCATACGAACCTGAGCTAAGCTCGAAATAACTGAGAGTAATGCCCCTTTTGCTAAAAAGCTTTGCCCACCAAGCATCTTGCAGATCCTCGGACACAACCGTTGAAACGCCACCGCTCCGCCGCCGCCTCCCCCACATTCTACCACCTTTGCAAGAGACGACGCTGCCCCAATCTGCACCGCCTTGCTCTGCTCCCCCATCACTTCCAACAGCGGCTTCAAGAACAACCCAACCAACGACGTCGACGCCGCCGCCGCCGCGGGCGCGTTATAAGCTTCATTGGCATGTGAACGAAGATAAAGCGCTGCGAGCGAGCCGGCGGCGTCGCGGCACGCATCACGTACAGATGAGTCTGACAAGGGGTCCTTGAGACGACGTATAATGTAAGCAATGACCTTGGGGAGATGAGTGGCACCGACGTCGGGGTGAGCGGAACAGAGGAGAGATAGGAGTCGCACGGACTCGCGGCGGGCGACATTGCGGCCGCTGACAGCCGCCGCGGTCGGAGAGCTTGGAAACTGAGGAGAGTACACGCGATTTAAGCTCAACCAAAGCGATGTGGCCGGAGAGGGAGGAGAGTTTGGGTTGAGGCGAAGACTGCGACTGGGATATGGGTTTTGAGGGCTTGGAAGAGGGTTTCGAGGAGGAAGACGACATCGAGAGGGCTTCTTAAAGAGGTCGTGTTCGGAAGGAAATGGAGAGAGGAAGGAAGGCAAAGAAGGAGGGATTTGGGAGGAATGGCATGGAAGGAATGGAGGCTGAAGAGATCTTCAAATGTGGGGAAGAAACGAGATCTTTGGAGAAGAGGGAACAGAGGAGTGCATCTGAAATTGAGTAAATCGTAAGAATAGCGGAGGAAGCAACTGTAGGTGCTGCTTAGCAACTAAACAGAATTTAACTAAGCAGGACTTTTTTCCTAAAAATAAGTAATTAGCGGATCGGGAGATATATTTCCGAAAGTTTGTGTGAAAATTTGATGTAATCAATTATAATATATAAATTTTATATCTTACTCAATTCATATGCATTTAAATAAATAAAACTCAATTTTAACGTATATTATTTTATTTATGCATGAGAATATGTATTTTATCTTTTAAAAATTGAAATAGTGATATATTTCTTATGATGTTGATACTATTGGTGGTATAAATGTAAAATAAAAAGAGTTTAGGGATTAGATATATAAATAAATAAAATTTAGTGGTACATGTATAAATTGAATTTCTTTATAATAATGATTTTTTTTTTTTGTTATGATGTGAGTTATTTGAGTGATATAAATGTAAAAAATAGAGTTTGGGTGTTAAATATATAAAATAAATAAAATTGGGTGGTATGTATTTAAATGTCTACCAAATAATTTATTAGAAACCGAGCCGGTTATAAGGTTCAGGGGTTGAATTGTCGTTTCAACCCGATTCTGGGCAGTTCTATGCTGGAGGGGTTTTTCATGCCAATCAGAATCAGACCTGATCGGTTTAGGTTTACTAAACCATGAAATGTTTGTGATGTGAGTGATTTGAGTGATGTAAATGTAAAAAATAGAGTTTTGGTGTTAAATATATAAAATAAATAAAATTGGTGGTATGTATTTAAATGTCTACTGAACAGTTTATTCTGGGCGGTTCTATCCTGGAGGGGTTTTTCATGCCAATCAGAATTAGACCTGATCGGTTTAGGTTTACTAAACCATGAAATTTTCTCCAACATCCAACAATCTAACGTGCAAAATTCATCGACTTGAGAAAAATTATTAATGTTAAATCTTAAAATTTATTCGGCATCATAAAAATTTGTTAAATCCTAGTAAATTATTTAATAATTTATTTCAAAATTGAAATTAGCTAATTCGAATATATTTCTAATTTTAAATATTGTTGATTGATCTTTACACTCTCAGAATTGATAAATCTAGAATTTATGCAAAAATGGATGTTGATAAGAATTTTATCTTTTTTTATTTTATTTTAGGGCATCCCGCACACATCTTAAAATATTTCTATTTAAATCATTTGAAGATTAATAGACTACCCCGAGATGTAGAAATATTATTTTGAAGTGATATTATTATTTGTATAATGAAAATCTTTATAATTTATGGGTCTAACTTGACCAGGCTTCTTTTTCTTACCTTATAGGTGAAACGTAGGGTTTATTTTACTCTAGGATCTAGTATCCCAACAAGAGCAAATACTAATAATTAAGTACATTCCGGGAGTTGTAAACTATCGAGAAAACTCTTGATTAAATTGATTACATGTATCATTCATGATTTCAAAGTTGAATGTTAAGGTTGGTGTTTTTGAAGCTTCAAAAGGGATATGTTAAAAATTTCAAAGGGATTGTTCATAGAATTCAAGTTTAGAAAGGTAGAGTGCTCGGATAATGTGAAGCCTAGTGAACCCTCCAATGTATTCTATTTAATTTCAATATTTAAATATTAATTATTCTAACTAGTAATAAGTGTAAGATAACATTTTATTAAAATTTAATTAGTAAATCATTAGCTTATTTAAAATAAGAAATTCTTTACTGTCAAGTTTAATTAGTTTAAGAGTTTTAATTCATTAGTATTAATTTGTTAAAATAATTTATTTTTAAGTAATTGTATCTTGAATAATAATAATTATAATCTTTTATTTTTTATCAATCTTAATTGGATTCATTAAATCATAAGTTGCTTTTATTAGAATCCCATTTAATTTTACTTAAATCTTACACTAAGTAAAAGTTAAACATATATCAAATCAAACTAAGCCACAACTAATAACAATTGGTTTAATTGATTTATATTTTTGTTGATTAACTTAAGATGTTTTTTTAAATTTGAACTCTTCGTCACAATACTTCGTTTAGTCTTAGTAAATTTAACTTTGAAGTTTAGAAAATAGTTTAGTTAATTTAGCTCTTTTAGTTACATTTCCACTAGCATGTATTAAACTTTTCTTTGACCTGTTTTTCTTACTTAAGTTTTTATAGTTTGCATAATGTCTTTTACGCTATTATCTTAAGAACTTCCACTCCTTGTGGGATCAATACTTAGGACTCCATTAGAGCCCTTTATTATCTAAGCGATATGTATACTTGCGTTTGCAAACTAGTGACTATTTTAAATTGAGAATATACATTAAATCACTAGAAGTGAGGACTTACAAATTTTATAAGATAAATTTTATTTAACTGAAGTAACTATTATTGTGATTGATCTGCATGTTTCCTTATTTAGTTGTTGTGTGCTATAGTGTTGAAAGACATTTACAACACATACACATTGTCGCCCATCAAGTTTTCTTTTTTGTAGCATCAAGTTATTGGCGTCGTTGTCGGGGAGGTAACGGTAAATTATTTTATAATTTAGAAGAGTTTGTTTGAACTGTAAAACTTATTTTAAGAAACATTGTAGTATAATAAATATTTTTATATTTTTGTGTCTTTGCTTATCTTAATTGTTTATTGTGTTTGTGCATGTGTAGTTTAGGATCCGAAGGTTTAGTCCCTTACGATTCAGAGTTAGAAAAAATTATTAGAAAAATTTAAAAACAACAAAAAGAATTTGATAATTTGAACAAAATGGCTAACAACTTAAATAATCAAGGAATTGAAAATGAACATCAATAGAGACCTTTAAGAGGTTATGATAGCCATACAGTTTATGAAATTCACTTGAGTATCTAAAATTCTGCTCTAGCTGCTAATTTATTTGAACTTAAGCCTGTTATTATCCAAATAGTACAAAATAATCAGTTTGGGGGAATACCAACTGAAGATCCTAACTTACATCTTGTTAGTTTTCTATAAATTTGTGCTACATTTAAATATGACGGAGTGTCGAATGACGCCGTCAGACTTAGACTTTTCTTTTTTCATTAAGAGATACAACTAAGATGTGGTTAAACTCTTTAACATCTGAATTTATCAGAATTTGGGGAGAATTAACATAAAAAATTTTATCTAAATATTTCTCACCATTGAAAAATTGCTAAGCTTAGAAATGATATCAAATCTTTTTGTCAATTTGAAGAAGAATAAATATATGAAACTTAAGAACAATTTAAATATCTCCTTAAGAAGCTTCCACACCACGCGTTACCAGATTGGTTAATAATTCAAACTTTTTATAATGGATTAGTTGGATCTCTTAGATCTATTATTAACGTTGTTGTTGGTGGATCAATAATGCTAAAATCATTCGATGAAGCATATTCTTTAATTGAAGAGGTGATTACAAATAGTTTTCAATGACCCTCTGAAAGGGTAACTCCAAGAAAAGTAGTCAGTGTTCGTGACTTTGATGCACTATCTATTTTGGCTTCTCAAGTTGTTGTAATATCAAAGAAGATAGAACAATATGTAATGAATTATTCTCAAACACCTCCTATGCTTGAGGAAAAATTATTTGAATAAATGATAGATTCATGTCGGCACTATTTTTGGTGTG